TCTGAAATGGTGGATTTGGGTTCAAATTAATACACACTCAACTGTTTCTATTACATTTGAAGGAACATAAGCTTTACTACAAAACACTCTTGGACCACTGAATCATAGTTTATTTCTAACAGAGAGTTTTTTGCTTTCACGTCGAAATAGCAAGCTGTATGAAAATGAAAAATTAATGTATAATACATTGTGCCACAATTATCTGTGATGGGTTAATATGATGGATTCTTCAAAATACTTTACCTGTTGTATATGATAATACGACTTACCAGTAACTGCCTGTAGATATTCACAGAATACATCAGAATATATCACAGTGCAATTAAAAGCAACAATAAAAAGAGAAATCCAGTGGTAGGCATTGCGCTCAAAACTGCCCGAATGCTCTCAAGGTAAGTAGCTATGACCAGTCCAGTGGAATTAGGCACTCACAGGTCTTGTAATGAAGCAACAAAATTTACATAGTTACATAGTATTTGAGGTTGAATAAAGACATAAGTCCATCAAGTCCAACCTATTGTGTGTATGCATTTATGAGCTGATGTGTGCGTGTATACGAGTCCATGTGTGATTTTTCTCTTAGCTATACCTGTACCCCTTAATGTTCTGGTCTCCCAGGAACTCGTCCAGGAGTCTCTTGAATGATTCCACACTCTTAGCTGAAATCACTTCCTGTGGCAGCGAGTTCCAGACCTTAACCGCTGTAATTTTGAAGAACCCCTTGCGCCCTGTGTGGTGAATTTTTTTTTCCACCAATTTTAGCTTGTGTTTGCTTCTTTGTGCACATTATGTAAGGTTTTTATTGTAGTTCATTTCTAGTGTTTGAACTCTTTAAATGTGATAAATATAGTAGTTATCAGCTAAAGAATGGAATGTAGACTGTCAGCTTTTATCATTTTATTATACATTCAACACATAATAACACTGTAGACATTGTTGCCCATAAATGAACACATTCAGTCTTGAAACCCCTAACTCACTTCATATTTTTTTTTTTGAGAGTATTGCTTCTGAGTATTAGTACTATCACACTTTGAAAGCTACAACCACCAATTATGGGATATTGGCTTCACTTTTGGTGTTATATCTATGCACGGTTTTATGTACATGAATTGTCTTACTTTTTCCCTCAGACTAGTAATTAAAGGATTCAGATGACAACCTGTGGAAGATATCCCTCAATGCTTTGCAGCATCTGGCTCTCTGGCAGATTTTCCTGGCACTTCTGTTAATGGTTTTGAATTTGCCCATGGGTCTTTCATGTGGTTGTATTGCAGATGGGCTGTCTGTACGTCCTTGTTCTCCTAGGTGCTTTATGTTTTGCTCCTCACTCATTTTAGGAAAAACATACCATTTGAAAATGTAGAATAAAATCTTTCATTGCTTTAGAAGGTCCTATAGGTGTAGCTTTCCTTTCCAGAGTAGTCTAAAAGATCACTTTGAAAGCAAACACATGTGGCCCGCTATTCAAATCCAGAGCTGTGAAGTGATAAAATTAGGCATTTAATGGGGTGTCTGTGAAATTTAGCATTTTCATGTAACTCTTACACAGTGCCCTAATAATAATATAACAGGGCTCTTTTCTCTTTTACCTGTGACTTAAGCACGCTACATTGTTTATTCCTTTGGATTCTGTATCATATTGTTCTCTATCAGTATTATGATGTTATATTGCTATGTAAGATTATTATAGTTTACAGAGGCTGCATGGTTTATCCTAGAGAAACACCAATTAATCTGATGTACAGTCAGCTACAAGCCTGAACACTGGTCACAGGTTCATTCCAGGTTTCAGGCTCCACAAGCTTATATCTACTTAATGTACAATCTACTTTGCTACTATAAATTGACTGGTTTTGAATATTATTATACAAGAGGTTTGATCACTCATCAGTTATTCAGCATATTTAGTCACAGAACTAAATATATACAAGCAACCTTTGATGCTAACTGTATTGCCCTTAATGCTGTTTTCTACCTATTTTCAGTGCTTACCTTTATATGTGAATAATAAATTTAGAACATATGTCTATACATCTCTTCTATAAGTCAGATGTCAAAGTCCCTCTAGGTTATTTAATTCAAGAGATGTAACAGAACTAATTTACCTTTATTGTTCATGCTTTTGGCAATGCAATTTCTCCAGACCTTTTGTATAACACAGGAACTGAACTACTATCAAGCTTATTTAATAAGGTGGTACACAGTGCATTGTGTTTGTACATAGTGCAGCAACTCAAAGCAAGTAGATTGCACAGGTCTTAAGGGACTAAAAATACAGTTGCTACCAGACAAAACAAAATGTAACAAAGCTTAAAGGGTTCTGGCATCTTTATATTGCCTAAACGATGTAGATATATGTTCTTATGCTTTCATTATACAATACAGTGTTTTGCACTTAAGCTTTCAGTTTTAAATGGCAACAGAATGATGTATATGCTACGGATATGCACCATGCAGAAAGGTTTGAGGAGTTAATCCCAATAAAAGTAGCATTGCCACCATCTAATGACATGTCAGATTTGATAGTCCATACTTACAGCAAGAAAAAGTATCAGATACATAAAATGATACAGTCAATGTTCTAGTCAGGGATCCCTGTCCTGAATCTGCCAGCCATAAGTCTTAGAATTAAATAGTTTTCACTGGATATTTGTTGATTTTTTTCAACTTATTTAACAAAATGTGTAAAAAGACCTGCCTGGATGACCAGAATATCAATGTATCTAGACTCAGCTTTTTAGTACTCTTGGCTTTCAGGGCCTGAGCCCTGAATTTGATTTCAACCAAGGATATTATCTACATGGAGTTTATGTATTCACCTTGCATAGTTTTTCATACATATAGAGACTGGTGTAAGTGGTTAACCTCTTAATGACCATGTGCTACGGATCAATGGCCTACTCTGTGGTATGTTTCCTGTAGATTAGGCAATAGATCTACTGCATAACTTTCCCTCTGAATTAATTCTCCAATATATGTACAAGCTCAGTGTCCCAGAGGTTATAGCAGATATGCAGGATTTTCAAAAGTTAACCCTTGCAGTAGGTCTACCCCTGCACAGCAAGGGTTAACTGCTCAATTCGGTCTGGGAAATGGAATAAAGATGATACACTTGCCCGATCATCGATCCTGTGAAGGTGACCGCTCACCTCTCTCCCCCTCTGCTCCAGCTGTGGTATGTTGCTCATAGCCCTCATGTCTAATCCAAGTGAAAGGACCTTGCATAGATGTGACATCAGCAAGGCTAAGACTGCCCAAACCTGGGAGAGAAGAGGCTGCAGAGATCGGCCTTGCAGCCAGGCGGCATTGAGGATCAGGTAAGTATATTTTCTATATTTGCGCCTCTAGACTAAAACGAGCAGTTACCTCCGCATTGCAAGGGTTGAAAGGTGAACCCCACCCCCCAAAAAATGGGGGGGGGGAAGTAAGGTCCCCACTAAAATTTCTAACCAGACCCTTAATCTGAGCACTGACCTGGCCAGACAGGAAAATGGGGGGACAATCGAGTGCCCCCTCTCCCTGCGCCATACCAGGCCACATGCCGTCACCACTAGCGCCACCTGTTTGTTTACATTCGGCTGACACCTGTCATACCATTCATTTAGCGGCGCAGGTGCGGCCCGCACGAAGGGCGTCGGGACTATTTTTATTTTGACAAGTCGGTGGTGTCGTAGACAACATGATTGATCCTTGGATTACGTTGTTGGTTTTTTATTTTTTTTTATTAAAGGACTTGTCTTTTCTACAAGTCTTTACTATTTGTTCAACCCTTTAGTGAATGAGTAGGGGTACAAGTACCCCTTACTCATTCACAATGGGGGACAGCATCTGGGTGCCCCCCTTATGAAAGGGGTACCCTGCCCACAGACCCCCACAACCACTGGGCCAGGGTTGTGAGGAAGAGGCCCTTTTCCTCATTGGCATGGACATGTGGCCTGGTATGGCGCAGGGAGGGGGGTGCTCGCTCATCCCCCCCTTTCCTGCTCTGCCAGGCCAGTGCTCGGATTAAGGGTCTGATTGGGAATTTTAGGGGGACCCTAAATTTTTTTGCCCCAGTTTTGAATGTGAATAGCCTGTACAGCAGCCATTCGGTGACTGAAGTGAGCCAAAGGATTAGCTGAAGCTTAGGCTCAATAGTGAGTAACCCCCTTAGTATCTCTAAATCAAAGCAATCATGAAAATGTTTTTAGACTTGCACCTTGGTACAAAATATAACTGACAATATTCCCTTTAGGAGAAATTAAAGAAAATGTCTTATTTTTAAAAACATCCTCAGCTTTTCTTAAATAACCAACATAAATTAAAAAATGTTCTCCTCCAAAAAACCCATACCAGCTCTGGTTAATAAACAAAGCAGCTTAGGTGGTTAAGGTTTTATGTAAAAGCCATTGAATATTGGTATTGATATGTAAATAAGTAACAAAATATATTGAAATGATATCCTTTTATCTATTGACAAATGTTCTTTTACACAGTTACACAGAAAAAATAGATATGACAGCATATTATAGATGTTTATGCTGGTGTACTTTAGTAACACAATACTACTTTTTATTTATATACAGTATATATGTTAATGCTTTTGTATTTTAGGACAGGCAAACAAGATACTCATGCTACATGGTAAAGATGTAATTTAACTTGGAAATTGTAGGAAAACTCAAGGAGGGAAATTTATCAAAACAGGAGCAGACAAAATCTGGAGCAGCTGTGCATGATGACCAATCAGCTCCTCTCTTTCATTTTCAAAGTTTAACTGAACAAACTGAAGGGAGAAGATGATTAGTTGCCATGGGCAACTGCTCCAGATTTTGCCTGCTTCAGTTTTGATAAATTCCACCCCTCGGTTTATAATTGATAAAAGGATTTATGTTTTCTTATTGTTGATTGCAAAATGCGAACAAATATATTTATAATATTTTTAGAATGTTTTAAATGATAGCCACACTGTTTCAAATAGAAACATTCTAAATATGTACTTCCTCTTCCTCAATAGGTCCATGGAAATGCAGGACCTAGCAAGTCCGCATAATCGTGTAGGTAGTGGAGATGCATCTGGGATATCCAAACTGGACAAGCCAAATATTAGCAGTAGTTCTATTACAAATGGTACAGGAGGTAGGTTTCATTTATGATACTCTTTCTTTTTTGAGTATAATAGCTTATCATTTGTCTTCAGCTCGTCATTTGTCAAAGAATGCAACATTCAGGAATTTGAACTTTTGTAATTTGCAAAAAATAGCAGATACTGTAAAGCCTATCTCCAGTTAAAAAAAAATAGCTTTATTGTGGGGCTTTCCCCATTGCAAGGGTTAACTGCTTATTAATGTCTAGAGAGGAATGTGTAAAGGTCTTTTACTTACCTGATCCCCACTCCCTGGCAGTCGGTGCTCACCTATAGGCCCTGCATTAGATGTGATTATGTCAGTGGGCCTCTGAACATCGGAGATGGGGATCAGGTAAGTAAAAGTGCTTTACACAGCCCCCTAGACATTCATGAGAAGTTAACCCATACAGTGCAGGGTAAGCCCCACTGCAATGGTAGCTTTTTATTTTTACCTGGGGATATACTTTAACTCTCTCCCCCTAATTCTCAAACCTTTCAGATATCATATATGCACATGTAGTTCCATGAGTTGATGATACCAGCAGTCTCATGCATTGACAATAAGTGTATATTTTCTAAGTTGTACCCAACTTTTTTTCACTATTGTATTGCTTGGCAGCACATATCCATAAATTGTACCACTCCCCACCCCCCCCTCTCGGGAGGAGCAGCGGGAGGAGCTTAAACAACAGGAGGAGCTTAAAGGAGTATAGTTAAAAAAACCTGAGCCTGCTCTAATCTGGTTAAGAGTGTATAACGCAAGTGCAGGGTCTGGAGTAAGTAATGCACTTAGTGCAGTGGTCGGGAGTGTATAATGCACAGAGAGCAGGGTTCAGGAGTGCATAATGCATAGAGAGCAGGATTCAAAAGTAAGTAAGTGCAGGGGACAGGAGTAATTAATGTGCAGAGTACAGGGATCAGGAGTAAACGTCCCAAGCAAACATTCCCGATCCTCCTGAAACAGCCCCCCAATATCTAAACCACCTCCAGCACAAATTCACCCTCCCTCCCTGAATTAAAAGTCAAATGCAAATATAAAAGTATGAATGGAAACTGTAAGAATTAAAAATAAGGAACTGTGAATGTAAAAATATGCATGTATGTTGTGCACATGCTGCTGTAGGCTGTTACCTGGCTACTGTCTGTAAATTCTGATTCCTTCTCCTCGGCTCCACTGTCTTCACCACCAGTCTGCAAACTGTTCTCTTCTTCCGCATCCTTCTCCCCCTGCTATGTCCAAGTGCAGATGCAACTGAGCCCTAGGCCGCACACTGGCCTCCTAAGTGCTTGTGCTAAGCTGCCACAGATAGCAGAGGAGAGAGTTCCGGTCCTCCCTGCGACCTGATGGAGCCCTAGGTGCTTGCACAGAAGGAGGAGAAAGCACAGCCATGACTTCCTCCCTGCTCACTCCTCCTCCCCAGCATCAACGCTCCACTCCATTAACACTGCTGGCACAGATAGCATGACTTCCATGAGTAGCATCACTGTTTCTGCCATTATTATTTTTTTTTCCCTACTACTATGTACTAAGATATTCCATTGCAGAGAGAGATCATCTGATGCTTTATCTCATTCTATTTGATTTGTTTTTAAGAGTATTATTCTTAGAGGTGTAGCCAGGCAACAGATGCAATATTACTGTTCTTTTATTGCTTTTGCTGGACAGTTTAACGCTGGCAATGAGTTGAATAATAATAACAATAATAATTTACGTATCATTTTTAGTATACATACATAGTTTATATTAATTTTGAAGACCTCTTAGTTTTACAGTTGCTGTGGAACTAAAGCAGCTAATGGCTGGCAGGGAATGCAGGAACTTTTTGTTCTACAAGTTCAGGTTGTACATCAACTGTATGACAGTAATATTTGCATCTCAATACTTTAAAACATTAGTTGAGTTTTTCTATGCTCTGTCCTTTGTATGCCCAGCCAATATCTAGAAAACCACATGCAACTATTGAGCTTACCAGTTCATTGTCTAAAAACCACAGTAGCCCTGTTAGTACATAGAAAGTGCAAAGAATCAGATTTTAAAATACTAAGCACATGGTTGTAGCAGTGGTGTAGCTAGTAAAAAATTGTTGGATTCCAATTTTCAGGTGAGAATATGACTGTCCTAAATACCGCAGACTGGCTTCTGAGTTGTAGTACACCATCTTCTGCAACAAGTATGGGCTAATAGTATAATGCATGGTGTGAGACTGATGTGTTTATAGGTTGCAGTGCTTATCTCTCAATACTTTCTTGTGTGGGTTTGCAGTGTTTATTCACATACAAATTTCTAACAATCAACTTTTTAGTTTTTTGTTGCTTTTTTATACAGAATTGTAATATGCAAGCAAATTGTAGTAGGCAAGCAAATTTTTTTTAAGGCTGTATAATTTAAGTTCTTTTGACATTTTATTCCTTTTAATTCCAAGATTCAGGATTTGGTAGAAAACAGCATGAAAAGCAAAGGCGTACAGTATGCTATACAAACCAGCCAGTTTCAACTTTCTTTAGTTTATTGTTTTCAGAGAAATTACATATAGGGGTCTATTCACTATGAAGCTACGGCCAGATCCCTCGGCAGCTTCGTGAATAGACCCCATAATTAATTTTTGCGTGGGAAGGTTTGCTGCACTTTGTAAACTGCTCTTGACCTTAATAAAGTTGATCTATACCGAATTGTCAACTTTAAGCAAATTTAAGAGTCTGAATGGGAGTAGAGCATGATAGAGGACCTTATAAACATGAACCTGTTGTAGGGAAAATGATAAACAAGTCTTTGTGGAGTATTGTGGCTAAATGCTTTATGTGATCTCTTTTAAAGGTAAGAATCAGAGGTCTGATTGACCAATCCTTTTCTCTAGCAGAAATCACATGGCCAAATCCTTAGGCTTTTGGTAATGTGATCAGGACCCACAACAACCATGGTCGAAGACATTAGACAGTGAGGCTGATTTACCAAGGCATTGCGAATGTTCACATAATAAACTGTGTGACGAATGACTTCAGTTGTCCAGTCATGTGAAAACAAATCATTTACTTATTTAATAGAAGGGAATTGAAGTGAATATTCACCCAATTTATTGCGTCAATATTTTTTAACTCCTTTAGTAAAGCAGTCCCAGTGTCTAAAATGTATGCACTACAAAACTGCTGATAAAAAAGGAAGGTTAAAAAAACAAAGATCCAGAAAATTCATCCTATTCTAATTCCAAAAAGTTAGAAAGTTATTGAACCATTCAATGAAAAATAAAACCAAACACAAATTATTATTTTATGCAATAACAACCAGATTGTCATAAAATCTTTCAATGGTGATGATAATTTTTAAGGTATATTCTCAGTACTTGTGGGAATCTCAAAAAGAGTAAAGGGTGTGATCATGCTATTGCAGTATACATGGTCTAAATAAAATATTTGCATGATATTTATATTGGATTGGAATCTGAATATCGCCTTAACTTTCAAATTAAAATTAACAGGTCTATTCACAAAAGGGTGAAGCGTTTAGAGAAGACAGGAGAAGTGAACAATCTAGGCCAAAATAGCTGATTTGAAAAAATTATCCAATTCAGCTCACTTTCCAGTTCAGCTATGTTGTCCTAGCTTGTTCACTTCTCCTGCCTTCTCCAAACTCTTCACCCTTTAGTGAATAGCCCTGTAAGTTTCTGGCCACCCAAATACAAACAAAAACAGAAGTATGGTGAGATCAAAGATAAAACACAGAATAATCGTGGAAAAACGGATATAGTGTGAAATGTGTTAGACTGGTTTAGGGCTCATGTACTCAAGCATCATAATCAGAAGCAAGTTTACTGTAGTAAGCTTTAAGATGCTGAGTTGGTTTGCCTTGCTTTTGTTTTGTTTTTAATTTGCATTGCTAAGGAGTTGCTTTGCTTTGAACTGTTTTTACATTTACATTGACTTGGGGTAAGAAAAGCAATTTAAACACAAACACACGTCCCTTTATGTGTTTGTGTTTTTGTACTTTGCCCAAGCACAGTAAAGAAAGAGGCTCACTTTATTGTTGGATTTAAAAAAAAAAATTGTATACTTTTGCAATAATACATAACTAGATGATTGGTGTTTTTTATACCTGGGTATTATTTTAAAGGGAGCCTGTCACATTGCTGCCTTAGAGGGATGTAGGATTTATTCCTTCAAACATGTGCTGTGGATGGTATTGGATTCTAACTTCTACAATGCACCTGTTCCCTTCTTCACGAGATGAAGCATGCTGGGAACTTTATTAAAGCAGAACAGTTCTGGAGCTGCTTTAAGCAGATATATTTTCCTTCAGCTCCATCTAGTGGACAATTTTGATAGGTAGGTAAGCCTATAATTCCTGCCTTTCAAAGGCAGAACACACTTATTCTGACCTTTGCAGCACTCCCCTGCAGCTTCTTCCATCCTCACAGATGGCGACGATACCTGTTGCTTCCAGATTTGGGGAGCATGTGACCTCCTACCATTTGACAGTATGACAGTGCTTAGGTCTAGCAGACAATGGTTTTGCCAGAACACTGTCACACGACTGTGGAAGTGATATCAGCGCTCCCCCTAGCGCCTTACACAAGCTGACACTGGGGATTTTTAGTAAGTATAGGTTAATAGGGGGAGCCATTGCACAGACACTGTCATTTTGCTCTGCAAGCTATGGTGACAGTGTCTCTTTAAAGTAATTTGCTTATTATTTTAAATAAGAAAATGTTTCCCATAATTGTTTTCTATGATTTTATAAGGTGGCACTATCCAAGAAGGTATGATACTATTAGCCATTTAGCCCTACAGGTCAGGCATTTTATTAACAATTAACTTACATCAAAGGATTTATTTTTATCAAAGTAGCAAAACACACTGATTAGGATGTTGGTATTTGAAGCAAAGCTACAGTGAAACAGGATGTAATATGATATTGCTGTTTTCTGATAGATTATTCTAAGTAGAAGTAATTAAAAATTGATGTCCCTATTCACTAAGTATTTTAAACAATTTAAGTGGTCTTAAAGAAATATGCCAATAGCTGATGCATATTACCAACATCTGAATGTAAAATATATAATTGAAATGACAATAATTAATTTGAAAAGCCATTGTCAATATTAATAATTAAAGCCAGGCTTTTTATTTAGTAAAACTGGTGATATTTTGCAATGATTGGTTTTTCGTTTCCAACTGAACACTATAACAGTTAACCTCATGCTACATTATTTATTTAAAGGAATAAATATTAGAGGATAATTAAACTCTGACAAGCCCCATTATAAAGCAGCAATGTGCCCAAACTACAACTATACTGATGCTTTTCTTTTAAAACAGAGCTACAATATATCCTATGTGGGCACCTGGAGCTTTTGATATCATAATATGCTGTTCATACTTGCAGTTTATTGCATACTCCTCATAACCCCATCTTCTTCAAGATCCACTGTCTCCTGAATCAACTATTGGGCAGCCACTAATGATGTAATTCCTGTAAATGTGCCAGAGGTTGTACACTGCACTGTGCTTGTGCAGAAGGCAGCGTACACTAATAAAAATGTTATAGCAGGCAGATAAATTATTTTCTTCCATAAACTGTACTTGCTAATAATTTTTAAATTTGCAACTTTAGTTCTACTAAAAGCTCCTCTGGCACATTGATAAAGCACTGCTGTGTTATTTTTAAATCCAGTTTACA